AACTTGCTGCAAGGGCCTATTGCCAGGAACGGAATTACCTTGAGACAACACCTCATTGAATGGGGTCTAAGAGCGACGAGCAATAGCTTGAGAGGAAATCTCAAAATGGTGTTACCAGGTATTATTGCGTGGAACCTATGGAAAATGTATAATGCCGCGATCTATAGTGATGATAGACCCTCCATAGCTACCGCGCACAACCAAATCAAGAAGATGATCCAAGGCTGGTGTTGGATTCACAGGAAGAAGAGTTGGGCATTAAAGGATCTGGAACTATTTGACCTAGGGTTCCAAACTATCTGTTTGAGCGGAAGAAACCTTCAGTCCTACCATTGCCATCAGTCCTACCAATATTAATCATACCTTGCTCCAATATGAGATGCAGCTCGAGTACACTGTGGGATACATATTAAGAGGAAGAGGCTACATGGTTTCTGTTCAACGGGGAATAGGCACACAGGTGAACCTTCAAAGGAGGCGCGGGAGACTGTAGACACCCTGCTTTTTACTTTTGAATTTCTTTATGTGGGTTATTAATGTAAATTTGCTCGGTGGTTCCTTGTAACTTTCGGGGTTTTGGTCTAGTCCCCCCCGAACGTGGTGATAGTTTTTTTAATAAATTTTGGTAAGGGTTCCCTGGTCCTTACCCCACTGATTTTGGTGGAACGCTACCGGGATTTAAAATATATATATATATATATATATATATATATATATATGTAAGTGCCCCCCACATTTAATTCATGCAATGTCTTCAATGCATGTCAAAGTTATAAAAAGAATGGACGTTTGCACATACTAGCTAAAGCTATTAAAAACATGGAACATGGAATGAGATTAAGGAGCAAAAGCATCAATAGCTCAAAAGAATATTAAGCAAAATAACTTCCCTGGAAAATATTGGGTTGCCTCCCACTAAGCGCCTTTGTTTACTATCGTTGGCTCGACTCCATGCATCTCTCCGATAAGTTTTCTTCTCCACCTGATAAACAAATGGCAAGGGAAAAAAATAAAAGGAACAAATAACTAGGCCAATTAAAAGTTTTTTTTCTTTTTTTTTCTTTTTTCTTGATACTATATACATCCCCATACAAAGGCACCAAACTCTGGGAGGCACTTAAGCCAACTCACTAAGATTAAGAAAACAAATAGTTAATAATATAAATAAATTAGTCCTGGTAAACAAGATCTTCAATTGTGATCTCCTCGATCTCTGGAGATTTTAGCTCATGAAAGGGTTTCAATCGTTGACCATTGACCTTAAAAATAGAACCATCCTTTGGGTTTTCAATTTCAACAGCCCCATGGGAATAAATAGTACGAACAATGAAAGGACCAGACCACCGAGATCTCAACTTACCAGGAAACAAATGCAGACGAGTGTTATAAAGTGAGACTTTCTGGCCTAGCTCAAAAGCTTTCCTGAGAATATTCTGATCATGGTCTTTGTAAGATTTAGCACAATCATAAGCATCACTTCTAATCTCTTCTAGTTCATTAAGTTTTAATTTCCTCTCAGCACCGACTCCCTCCAAATCAAAATTTAAAGTTTTAATAGCCCAATATGCTTTATGCTTTAATTCAACTGGTAGATGACATGCTTTTCCATAAACCAAACGATAAGGAGACATGCCAATGGAAGTTTTAAAAGCAGTACGATATGCCCATAACGCATCATCTAATTTTAAAGACCAACCTTTTCTTGGGGAATTAATTGTTTTTTCCAAAATTCTTTTAATTTCCCTATTAGAAATTTCAACTTGACCACTAGTTTGGGGATGATAAGGGGTAGAAATTTTATGTTGAACACCATATCTTTTCATCAAGTACTCAATAACTCTATTACAAAAATGTTTACCTCCATCGTTGATAATAGCTCGTGGAGTGCAAAAACGTGCAAAAATATTTTCTTTTAAAAATTTAACAACAGTTTTATGATCATTATCCCTACATGCTTTAGTTTCCACCCACTTGGATACATAATCAACCCCAACAAGAATGTAAAGATTACCAAAAGAATTAGGAAATGGTCCCATAAAGTCTATGCCCCACACATCAAAAATATCTATAATTAAAATTGGATTCAAGAGCATCATATTTTTCTTATTAATGGTACCTAATCTTTGGCATCTATCACATGATGAACAATATGTATGGCAATCACGAAAAATTGTAGGCCAATAAAAACCACTTTGTAAAATTTTAAAAGCTGTTTTCTTAGCACTAAAATGACCACCACATGCATGATCATGACAAAAAGAACTAATGCTTTGTTGATCACTTTCAGGCGCACCTTCTTATGATCTAGTTAGAGCAATACTTGAATAGGTAGGGATCATCCCAAAAGAAATGTTTTACCTCAGACAAGAACTTAAACTTATCTTGCTTGCTCCAATTTGTAGGTAACTGCTTTGTAACTAAATAATTCACAATATCAGCAAACCAGGGAGTTCCAGAAATTTGGTTTAGTTGCTCATTAGGAAAAGACTCAACAATAGGTGGATCAATATCATCAATGTCAATAATTAATCTAGACAAGTGATTAGCTACTACATTTTCAGAGCCCTTTTTGTCTCTAATTTCTAAATCAAACTCTTGTATAAGTAGAACCCATCTTTAGAGATAACATGACCAAGAACAATGCCTCTTTTAACCATAAAATGACATTTTTCCCAATTTCAAATAAGACTTTTCTCTTTGCATCTTTCTAAAACAAAAGATAAATTTTCTAAACATCTATCAAAAGAATAGCCAGACATATAATCATCCACGAATACCTCAAGGAATTCACCTATCATATCAGAAAAAATACTCACCATACATCTTTGAAAAGCAGCAGGGGCATTACATAACCCAAAAGGTAGACGACGGTATGCAAACGTACCAAATGGGCATGTGAATGCAATTTTTTCTTGATCCTCAGGGGCATTAAGGATTTGAAAATAGCCACAATAACCATCAAGAAAACAATAATATTCATGACCAGCTAATTTTTCCAACATTTGATCAATAAAAGGGAAAGGGAAGTGATCTTTCCTAGTTGCAGAATTTAACTTACGATAATCAATACACATTCTCCATCCTGTTTGAACTCTAGTTGGGACTAACTCGCCGTTCTCATTTTTCACTACAGTTATTCCTGATTTTTAGCCACAACTTGGATAGGACTTACCCAATTACTATCAGAAATAGGATAAACAATTCTGGCATCCAGTAATTTTATCACCTCGCTCCTAACTACCTCTTGCATAGTAGGATTCAATCTTCTTTGTGGCTCACGTGTTGGCTTTGCATTATCCTCTAAATGAATTCTATGTAACACAACCGAAGGACTAATACCCTTGATATCAGCAATTGACCAACCTATAACTTCCATATGTTTCTTCAACACACTAACTAATTGTGACTCTTGAGATTTATTTAGATCAGAAGCTATCACAACAGGCAATGTATCATTATCTCCTAAGAAAACATACTTAAGAGTATCAGGCAATGGTTTCAATTCTAATTTAGGAGGTACCACAGAAGAAGGCAATAAGGGAGAGGAAGACAATGAGAGTCTCAAAGGTTTAGGCTTCCACTATCCTCATTCAAAATAGGTGTGGAATCAAGCAAGTGATTTATATCAGCAACTGAATCATCCATGTCAAAATCAGTTCCAAAATTAACTAAACATGCTTCTAGTGGATCATCACTACTTGAGTGATGAAAAGTATCATTAATAAGACTGTCTAGCACATTTAATTCACATACATCATCATTATCATCATGCATTTGCTTAGTCACATGAAAAATATTCAATTCCACAGTCACATTGCCAAAAGAAACTTTCATAACACCATTCCGACAATTGACTAAGGCATTGGCTGTAGCATGGAATGGGCGGCCTAAAATAATTTGTGTTTGTGTGGAACAATCTTGCACGGGCTTAGTTTCTAGAACAACAAAATCAACAGGAAAATTAAAATTCTCCACTTTTATCAAAACATCCTCAATTATTCCCCTAGGTTCGTTTTACAGATATATCTGCGAATTGAAGTGTCATCCTAGCTAGTAGATTTAAGCTCCCCTAAACTCAATTGCAAATAAACGTGATAAGGGAATAAATTAACACTTGCACCCAAATCTATTAAAGCTCTATTAATGTGATGCTCACCTATTTTGCAAGAAATGGTGGGAGATCCAGGATCTTTTAATTTGATAGGATATTTATTTTGAATAACTGAGCTCAATTGTTCAGTGAGGAATGGTTTCTTTGAAACATTTGTTTTCCTCTTTGTTGTTACTAAATCCTTAAAAAGCTTTGCATAGGCAGGTACTTGTTTAATAGCATCTAAGAATGGAATATTTATTTAAGCTTGTTTAAACAATTCTAAGATATCTCCTGTTTTACTATTATCTTTTGGAGCTAGGAGCCTATAAGGATATGGAGCTTTAGGAATAAATTTACTATTCTCAAATTGAAGACATCAAATTCAGACTCCATGATATTCAAGATCAGCTGAAGGGGGATAGGGCAGATATCAACATGTTTAATATGGAAAAGAATCTGAAAAATGAGTTGCATCTTAAACTTAGGGCAAGCTTCCTTATGAAATGTCAACAATCTAAAGTTAACTAGATAACCTATGGTGATCAAAACTCTAAGTTACATTATGCGTTGGTCAAAAAAAGGAAGCTTCAAAACCACATCACTTCCCTGACTAATGCCAATGGATCCCCTTTGTGTACTTTGCAATTCTGGAGTTGAGGACTGCCAACATCTTGTATGCAGCTACCACTATACCAAGGAGATATACTTGAAGGTCTATGATTGGACTAGTTACATGTTTGTGGGGTGCTCAGGTGGGAGAAATCTTATAGAGGCTACAAAAAATTTTCCTGGCTAGACAAAGACTGAAAATGATTGCTATCTTTAGTGCTTGTGTTTATTTCATTTGGAGAGCTAGAAACTATCTTCTATTCAGGAATATGACCCCATCAGTAGAAGAAACATATCATCGAATCAGATATCATGTATGCACCTTCTTGCATGCTAAAAAGGAAAGTTTTGATTGAGCTTTCAATGTCATAGGGATTTGAGTGCATATGTGAAGCTGGACGGAGGGGAGGGTATATCTTATCCCTTTAATTTCTTTGTAATGTGCCTAGTCTAGCCTCTTTGTAATATGGTAGTTGTTATCCCTTACTTTGTTCGTTATTTTGTACTAGGTTTGAGGAGATAATATATTTTGCATTTTGTTCAAAAAAAAGTTTGGACCATAGTAAAAACCCAATCAAACAGAACAGAATTAATCAGTGCAAAAATGTGTTGGTTATTTGAATAATCATATGGGTTATTCAAATAACCCATTAATTTTTCATGAATTGAAATCTTTTTTGGGCCCAACGAATCAACTAGGATAAAATTGATCAGGTTATTTAAATAACCATATGGGTTATTTGAATAACTCATTTATTTTTTGGATCAAAATATCTAGTGGGTTATTCAAATAACCACCTGGTAATTCGAATAACTAGTCCTCTATAACCTTTGAAACTTTGCGTTCAAGCAGATTTCTCCAATATCTTTCTTTGGTCATAAAACATCATATAAACATTTGTTAACAATAATAGATCATTTTAAATAAATAAAATCGTAGTTTTAATGTCAAACAACAAATTAGTGGTTCCAAAATCACTAAGTTCATCAAAAACTATATCCATAATTTTCTAACACAAAACTCAATGTGAATCATCGTTTATGAATGTAAAAACAATCTAGATGCATACTTTAACATGAGATACTCTACACTCACCTCAAACTTTAACGAAGTAAACTGGAAATCGAACGATGAAACTTCTGGCAAGAACTATGACTATCTCCAACGATAACAACGGCAACAATTTTATTCGGCATGCTCTCCTCTATCTTTTGGTTCTCACAAACTTGGAATGGATGAGAATGATGAAGAAATAGTGAATTTGGATAGGCCTATTATAGGCTTGGGAAGAGGAGAGTCGTGCGGAGCTTCAAGGATTTGCTTCGATTGTGATTTTTAAAAGTGGGGGAGGGGGTTGTTGATTTAAGTAATCCCTTCAACCGTAGTTTGATTAAATTACCTCAGTTGGAATATTTTTTTGTCTAACCTTCTCCAAATAAAAATCAAATTACACTATTGTGGTCAATTAGTCAACACAACAATATAATTTTCCAAATAAATTGACAAACATCATAAACCACGTGCTTTTTGATCCATCTTAGTAATTAATTATCAATTACTTAATTCTTATAGACCTATTTTCGGGCATAAGAGAAAAGGCCAAAGACTGAATTTTAAATCTGAAGAGAAAGGCACTGAGACTCAGAGAATGCCCTACCTGGCCTTCACCCTTATGAAGATGGCTAGAGGATTCACCCGTCATGGAAAGAGGGGAAAGGAAAACTATTCTAGAAAGAGGAAGCCATCAGCGAACTAGCTCGCCAAGAAAGGATGAACGGATAAATCGAGAACTCCAAGACGAAATTCTCTCTCTAAAATGGTGGAAAATGAGGAGGCGAAGCCCGATATGTATAGAGGTGCGGTGATGGTTGTGTAAAATAAAAAGGAGAAAACAAAAAAAGAGGTAGGGAAATGTCAATCAAAGATGTGGGGGCGCAATGATTACAGATGGCGGCCATGGGATATGAAATGACGCAACACCTCCCTTAGGAAAAGGGATGGGCGCTGTTCAGCCCCGCACGGTTGTTGGCGCGTGTACGTACGCGCCCACCTAAGACAAGTTCTACTCTCACTCACCCTCATCAGTCTCCAGAGAGCTCGGAGAGCTTGGAGAGTGGGGGCTTATGATGGAGGCTGACTCCACGTCACCAACAGGTACCCATGCTGGACCCACGCCTGGCCGCACTAGAGAGGACGCCCACCCATGGGGTGGGAACATGAGCTCATCTCGACTTGATCGAGGCAGCGTGCTCGACTCTAGAAAGAGGGAGGTGATAGGTTTCCAACTGTAGCCACGTGAACATGCCCAACCAAGAATAGGTGTACACTCACAACGCTTTAACGACTAGCGATAGGGGCTAGGCAACAAAGGAGTATCACAGGCGACCAAACGATTCCATTGGTCCACGACAACAGCTAGACGATAAATGAGCGTCAATCACGATTATTACCGTTGTGGTAAATACGACTATAGATGCTCTTTCACTGTGTATTGTAAAGGAATCCTGAAATCAGGCTAATAACACTCCTATACTACACTCTCTCACTCTTTGTTCTATTCTTACTTACACTCTATTCTCACTCATCATGTAACACCCCAATCCGTATAACCCGGAATTACACGAATTAAGGTGAAACGAGGGTTAAATAAAAATTTCGCTTGACATTTGAAAATGACAATTTCTTATAAATGTTAAATTTACAGACTCTGGATCGCGACCCATTTAAAAATATTTTCAAAGTAATGCGGAAGTACAATAATAATCAAATCATGACACATTTAAAATCTTGATGAACAAACATTTGCCTGCCATCCTTGCATCTCCTCTGACTCAATGCCCTCCGGGAGTGGTTCCATCATTGTCTTCTTATTACCTACGTGTAGTCAACGAAAAATACAAACTACACGCTTAGCGAAACCGCTGAGTGGTACCACGCTAGAATTGTAGAATAATTCACAGACATATACATATACATATATATACGTCCACAAAAATGTATAACAATATTCATGATATGGCACATTATGTCATATGGTCAATTTGATGAATCATGATGATAAATATTTAATGATAATTACATAATGGCACATTAATTTAATCAATTTGATTGTTCTTGATGATGATTATATGACACCTATATAATCGATATAATTTCTTGATGATGATGCATGATTTCATGCTGTATGATTCTAACTAGCAAGGACGACCCTTGCACTATGAGATTCGCCCATTTGGTACGACGAACTCACGCGGCCTTAGTCTCATAAGGGAGACTAGAAAATAGGGGTGGTACTCGAAAGCCTGAATACCATGTACGTACACTAAGCCCAGTCAGTGATGTCAGACTGCTAAGTCCCGCACAATCACAACTATAAGAGACGCACTAGGCATGATCTCTTACGCATGCATATGATGTGATATGCTTCAATATGAATGATGAAATGAATGATATGATGTGAACAATTTGCAAACAATAGGAATATATAATCATGCATAAGTTTATTTGGTTGAAACATGATTAAAATATCATTTAATCAAGTTACTGGGCTCGGAACGGTCGACCGTTTGGCGCGACGGTCGACCTTGATCTTCATCAGGTCGGATTTGCGGATCACCGTGACGGTCGACCGCGGTTGACCGGCGGTCGACCGTTGTTGAATGACTGGGAGAAGCGGTCCTCGACTGGGCGGGCGGCGGTCGACCGTCAGCCACCGGCAGTCGACCGTTTGGCTGACAGTCGTGGTCCGTTTCGAAGTTTAACGCGACGGTCGACCGTTTGCGTCGACCGTTTGGGTCTGCGAATCTTTCTCTTGATAGTTTGAGTGTCCAAAATACTTCTTTAAGTCTTTTAAACACCCTTGATTAACATATACATATTGTTGGGTTGATTTCCAAAGTTTATATCTACTTATGTGTATATTAACTTTATGGATTTGGTGTATTTTAATCTCAACATATAGATGACTTATATATGCATCACATATATATTTTGGGATGATTTCAACATATGGATTAATATATATATGTTCATGTACGTATGTGATGAATAATTCGACAAGTCTAATGCAAAGGTACAGACCTGGAAATCATCGGTCGAAACCTTACGGATGAGCGGGAGTGGAAACAACATCGAAATTCACCAACTTTGTCATTCCTGTCACAATTAGACAGCCTGCGGTATTTTGGGCATATCTCCATCGTTTCTTTACAGAATCGCAAACCATTTGATTCTGTGGATTCCTAAGATGTAAGGCTATAACTTTTGTATAGAAAGTATTTCGAGTTAACAGATGTAAGATAGCGTAAATCGGACCTGAAGTCAAGAGAAAGTTGCTGTCCAGAATTTTGGATATGTTGATGAAAACCGATTCCGACGATTAACTCATTAACTTCAATATTCCAACACCGAACCTTCTCTACGATACCTTCCGGATGTTCCTAATAATTGTTAGAGAGTTTATGGTGAGTGTTTGGAATGAAACAACATGAATTTGGTGAAGAGAATGGTCCAACCCGAGGAGCTCGCCACCACTGGCGCAGTCCCGGTATTTTGGCCATATCTTCTTCGTTACTTAACGAAATCGCGAGCCGTTTGTTGGGCTGGATTCGTATCGTTTGGGGCTACAAATTTGGTTCAGAAAGTATTTCGAGATAATGGATGGAAAATTTCAGTTTTTACCTAAAAGTGGACTGATGTGTTTTGGTTTCAGGATTTTGAGACTTTATGGTTTTTCTTCTTGCTTCTCCTTCTTCCTTAGTATACAACCATGGAGTATTGCTGTTTTCTTTTCCTTCTTTGGGCTGCCGACAGAGAGAGGATGGAGAGGAGAGAGGAATGTTGTGGGTGGATGATAGGAGATGATGATGGTGGTGGAACATGATGATTATAGTGGTGGTGGAGTATTATCATATATATATATATATATATATATATATATTTGAAAGAAAATTTTATTGAAGAGGAAAGAGAGGTGTTACACGGGGGCATGGGCGGGATAAAGAAAATAAGTCAAGCTACACATTTGAATAAAACTCTACGACCATTGCGCCAAAATGAATCGATCCCCAAGCCCTTGAAATCTTCATCCTGGACCATCCATTTTTTGTTTCTATTTATACATGCCCACGCTTGTAGGGATTTGAGGCATGCTTGAAAAATTCCCTCTGCCGTTGGGTTCGATGCGTTGTGGATGCTGGAGTTACGTGCCTTCCAAAGGGACCAGGTGCAAAGTCCTGGTAAGATGAGACGAAGGGTTCCTTTGAAGTGTTTGGTGTTGCTTCCGAACCACCATGCAAGGAGATGTTGGCGCAGTGTGGTGTCCTTCTTCACCCTAGGTCCATTGGCCATTATTGCAAGCTTGTTCCATACAT